ACCGGACGCGGATAAAAGGGATGGTGTCCTTATTCGTCCGACGATGAGTCCGTCTCCTCACCGTCATCGATCTCTTGCGTATACACGAACGGATTGTAAATGTATGGGTTTATATAGGCCTGTTTATTGGGCGAATAATTAACGACAGCAATGCCATTAGGATCAGACCTATAATTGTACAAGTGTGGATAGAGGCCAGGCGACGTGGCGATGCCGACGCTTACAAATTTTTGATAATCGTCGGTGTTGTCCGGGCAATACTGAACGCCGACGGTTTGTTGGTCGTCCAACGATTTCGATTCTTCCGAGGTATGCGCGTTGACATCTTGGTCTACGATATGCTGCACGATTTGTGAGTCTACGATCGGATTCGTGTCGACGCAATGCTTGCCGTCGAATTTAGTATGCGGCAGCATCGTGTAATGCGCGTGGTCTGGCACTAAAGTTTGCTGTCGATAAACGTTTGCGTTAGGAACGTAGTGCTGGCTGTGATAGAGGATCGGCTGGTAATGACCGTGACCTACAACCGGTAACGCACTAACGTCCATCTCTGTGTAAGAGACATCCGTCATATCTTTATTGACGGCCGGCTGTTCTTCCACGGGGGAGTGGTCCATTGTGTCTGAATATATGGAATGATTTGGTGATGATGTGTCCATATGCTCCTGTGAGTCAGCGTATGTGTTTTCAGGGTGTGTCGTATCGGCCGGCTGGTGCATGTCTGTTAGAGTTAGATGACGGTTGACCTGTTCTACATGGGTACCAACCTGGATCCCAGTAGTCACCGTCGACTCCACGTATGTCTTCCCGTGAAGACCCGGTTGGCTAAGGGTTATTTCTTTCGTGGTAATACCCTGAATCCTCCAGTCTTCCGACGCCACCGGCACGTCGCCCGAGTCCGGTTCGCTGCTTGACACGCAATGAACCATCGGCTGGAAATATAAACGATTGTATAAAGCAATGAACCTTTTTTCAGGTTTGAACTCTTTGATTTCTAGAAATGGTAACAGTCAGCATAAATAAAACTATTTGAAACAATCCATATACGAATTAAAATGTATTTCATTTATTTAGTCATTTATGTAGTTCCAATAATCTAAATTTATTGCTAATATATAAAGAAAAGAAAATATCCACTCCAGTAGAACTTGATGAATTTATGTTTACAACAGAAAATATAATTAAACTATACTGTCCTGAATTTAGAATGTAGAAGATTCTGTATCAACTGGTCACATTTTCCAATCAATATTATTACAACGAAATTAAAATCAATCTAAATACAAAACTTTACCGTAGATGATGAATGATGTCTAGCAGTAATCGGCGGTGCTGGCGAGGCAGCCCCATGTGTCGTAGTGTCCACGGCAGGGCTGTTCGATCTTTGACTGTTCCCGGGACTATGTGTGGTGGTATCTGGAGGCGACCCCTGTCTCATCATCGCCGACTGCGCCATATTGGCTTGGTTCCCAGCCGTCTGCGTGGACACAGAATGTCTCGCCATCAGCGGACTATGCTGGTCATTCTGTTGCGCACTCTTTTCAACGACAGTTGTGCTACTAGTAGCAAGGACATACTGCTGCTGCTCAACGTTCTGCTCTGCAGACGGCGAGTTCACACTGCTCTTCGGCGAGTTGGGCGGTTTTCCTTGAATCATGCCGGAGCTCAAGATGTACGACTGATTGTGATCGATGTTCAGCGAAGGATCAACGGCAGTCCCGTTTGAAGCAGCGGATTGAAAATTCGGTATCTGATTATTGGACACCATGGTGGTTTGCTGTTGGACGATCGTAGTATTCTGCTGCACAAACGTAGTGTTCTGCTGATTCGAGGCAGACGAGACAGCGATGTTCTGCGCGGTGCCACAAGGCACCATCAACGTCTGCCCGTTCATCTGTATGAACTCCTGTTGGCCCTGCATATTGGATGGCCGAACCTGCGATGTGTTGAAAGTCACTTGCTGATTCGGGCTGACATTCGCCACTATCGGGCTCAGCTGATTCCCAAATGACGTAGTGCCGTTCACTAGAAACTGGCCGCTGTTAGGCGATAGGAACTGCGCGCCAGGGCTGTGCTGCTGGATGATTTTCCCGCCCGTCGCTTGAGGCGCGCGAATCACCATTCCAGCGGGTCCAGCTGCCAAAATGCTTTGACTTGGATTGAATATACCACTGTGACTCTGAACCGGGGTTAATACATTTTGACCGTTCACGTTCTGTATCTGTAGCTGCATGCCGATGTTCCCAGTGTCCTGCAGCAGGGTTGCTGTCCCGTCTGCGGACATGACCATGCTGCCGATGCCTGGAACGATGAACTGCTGAATGGTCGGGAAGTTCTGCACCATGCCTGCTGCGCCGTTCAACAGATTCACCGGTTGGAGGAGGTTGATTTGCTGAGTCGGTTGAGGATTCGTGATGATCTGCTGAGCGTTGAACTGCGCCGACGCGGCGCCCGCTTGTCCGTTCATCACCAACTGGGCCGGTGCGCCACCTTTCCCCGGTACTATCGTCAACGCCTGCAACATCGGTCCGCCTATGCTCTGAGTCTGGAAATTCTGCTGCGCAAAGTTTGACTGCGACTGCATCAGCATGCCGGCGTTCTGCTGGGACGAGGCGATGTGCAGCATGGATGCGACCGTTTGCGGGTTAGCTTTTCGTTTCTTGTACGCTTTCTTCTTGCTCATCGCCGATTCAGGCGACAGCAACGCCGGCTGCCGGTTCACCATCCCTTGACCTGCATTGACATTCCTGGCGACGTCCTGATTCGCATCTATGATTGACTGAGCGTTCTGTATGACGTTGCCGGTGGCAACGGTCAGATGTGGTATCTGAACATTCTGCCCTATACTGTCCATTGTCATCACACCGGGCTGTATAAGTACGGGAGTCTGAATGGTGTTCACTAGGACTGTAGGCTGCCCAATGACTTGTTGAGCCACGCCGACCGCTGGGATCACCTGACTGACAGCTCCTGTGACACTGGTAACCATGGGCGAGACAGACAATGGCGGCATGGAGTTCGAATTCGAAATGATCTTCGGTGGAGGAGGCGCCATCACGCCGTTGATACCCGTTCCAGTGCTGGCCATTATCAACTGGCCACCGCTGGACACTAAGATGTGACCTGGAGGTAAGGTAGACCCAGCTGGATGTTTCAGCATTCCACCGGACGTGAGGACATTGTGAACCTGGACGTTCGATTGAGGATGCTGTTGTGTCTGCTGTTGTTGAGGTTGATTCTGCGGTTGCACCGGCGAACTCGTACTGGCCTGAGGTACCTGTATGCTGCTGACCACACTCTGAACCATCTCAAGCGGTGACTTCGAAACGCTGATTGCTATCGACGGTTGACTACTCGGGAGAGTGGAGTGCGTGGTCGCAGCAGTAGCCGTCACGTTCGTCAGAGCCGTGGGGCTGTTTTGATGCTGAGGTTTGTTCGAAAGTATATCCGGTATAGCGGGATTGGGGATTCCGGAAGGCGTGTTGATGGAAACCGTCGCCGTGTTTGCTCTGCCCGCCAATACGGACGTGATAGTGTTGCTGCTGACGGTATGTCCGCTAGCCATCGTTGTTATCACCGAAGACGTGCCACCGAAGTGATTCATTGGCACTCTGGCAACGGCGTTCACGGTGTGAGGATGTGGCTGGTAGCCTTCCAGGGATGACTGTCTGACGGTTTGCCTTTTATTCATTTGGGGCGCCATATTGTCCGTCGTGGACGACGTGGTTTGCAGCGAGGAAGTACTAACGGATACGCCACTGGAGCTGGTCGTGACCGAACAAGGCGTCTCGGAACGTTGCTCCAGGACACCTGCGCTCATCGAAGACTGCGACGGCTGTTGAGCCTGAGGTGTTAGCGGTTGCGATGGCACCTGACCCGACGTGGCGTGGGAATGAGGTGTTGGCGGTTGCGAATAACTGTGCGGCGTCGAGGGCTGGGATGAGATCAGACTCTGCGGCGTCGCCGGCTGCGATATACCGGGCGTCGACGAAGCAGGCGTGTCCGAGTTCGCCGGGCTGTTCGTCCCGATAGGGGATCCATGACTAGTGCTCACAGTGCCGCCTTGTATCGGCCTTGAATCCACCTGCTGCTGGTTGCTCTGATACTGTTCGCCGAACGTGGACGACGTGACAGGATCCTCCCGTTGATCCGAATGCATCAGGTACTGACGTTGGATTTGCTGTTTATATTGATCCTGTACATAGGACTGGGTGTCGGCACTGGTCACGCAACCTTGGCAGGGACTGCTCTCCGAGTCGGCGCCAGCGTTACTCGACGTCGGCGTCATGCTGCTGTGCACGACAACCGGCGAGGTCGCGTGGTTCTTCACGGAGTTAAAGGTCGACGTGCTCGTCGGGCTAACGCTGGAGGAAGGCTTTGGTTGTGGAAGATAAGCGTTATTGGTCAAGTGCGACCCGTGGCTCGTCTGCGGGGTCTTCGAGTTGTTCACCATTCCCACCTGCGAACTGCTGACACCGGTCTGCCGTGATATCGTACTGTTCAACAATGCAGTCTGCTGCGCCAGGTATCCACTCGGGTCTTCCAGGAACGACGGCCCACTGCTGTTCACGGTTGAACCTATTTGACTATTGTTCTGATGAGATTTATCATTGAATTCATCGATCGGACTCGGCGCCGATTGGTCTAGGGTGTTGTTCCTAACATCTGTGACACTGTGCTGGCGTTGCTTCTTCACTACTACCTTGCTAGGTTTCGCCTTCTTCCGCGCCACCTCGTCGGTCCAGGTGGTTGCCTGTGGAATGTGATGATGCAGGGGCGGAACGCGGTCGAAGGAGTTGCAAGTGATATTCTGCACGGTGACAAGAGAAGGCTGATGAGAAGCTGACGCTGGTCTATTCTGCTGCCATGGGGGCGTCCTCGATGTGAAATGCATGTTTCCGGGCTGCCCGTTTGGTCCCATACCGGATTGTGCTTCAACAGTGTGATTGCTGTTCGGGCTTCTTCCCGCTACATTCGACAGAGTGTACTGTTGTTGATGCTTCACGTCCCCGGTGTTCCCTTTAGCCACATCGAAACTCTTCGCTGAATACTGAACCTGATTTTGAGCATACATACGCTGCACGTTGTCGTGCGCGTTCGGCATGTTCCCGTTCTGCACCACGTGATGGCGCTGCAATTGATGATTTTGTAGCAGTAGCTGCTGCTGATGTTGTTGCTGCTGCTGCTGCTGCTGCTGCTGCTGTTGTTGTTGTTGTTGTTGTTGTTGCTGTTGTTGCTGCTGTTGTTGTTGCTGCTGCTGCTGCTGCTGTTGCTGCTGTTGCTGCTGCTGCTGCTGTTGTTGCTGCTGCTGTTGTATTTGCTTCGCGTTCAGATCCTCATCCGTCACAGATGGCGTGCGATTATGCCTGTTCTGCATATCGGGATTGTTCATCGTGTTCATCACCGAACCTGAATTCTGTTGCTGCATCACGTCTAACGAATGGTGACTCAATTGCTGAGTAGGATACTGAGACTGAACGCACACCTGAGGTACTTGTTGTTGCTGTTGCAGCTGCTGTATCTGCATTTGGAAGGGATCAGCTGGTTGAGCTTGCATTACGTGCTGGTTAGACTGATGTTGTTGCGGTTGCTGTTGCATTTGATGCTGATGAAGTTGATGCAGTTGAGGATGAAGCGCAGGTTGAGACGGCACTTGCGACTGTTGCATGTGATGCACATAATTTTCTGACGCATGCTGAGAACTGAAAGTCCCAGATTGTTGATCGACCTCTTGCGTCAGATGCTGTTGCTGTTGTTGTTGCTGCTGCATCTTGTGTTTCTGTATTTGCTGCATGTGCAACTGCTGCTGTTGTTGCTGCTGCTGTTGGTTCATGTGTTCCTGTTGCTGCATCACGTGTAACGATTGCTGATTTAACTGATTTAGATAGTGCGGAGCTTGCTGTTGCGCTAATTGATTCACAACCGCATTCTGATGTTGCGGCTGCTCTTGCTGTTGTAAAATTTGCATGTGCTGCATTTGCTGATGATGCGGCAGCAACTGCTGCGTTTGTTGTTGCTGCTGTTGCATCAGTTGATGTTGTTGTTGTTGCTGCTGTTGCTGTTGCAATATGAGCTGTTGGTGCTGCTGCTGCAACAACTGTTGCTGCTGCTGCGTCATGTTATTGAAGTTGGCCGCCTGCTGATTCATGATCAGCGGATTTCCCATCAGCATCCCCGACATGTTGTGCTGACCTAACCTTTGCTGAGGATTTCTCGTTGCACAGCCGTTCACATCTTGATTTTGCGAGGATGAGTTTAGCGTCTGATGGCAGATCTGCTGATTGTTCTGCTGAACTTGCAAATTAGGGATTGTGATCGGCCACACCTGGAATCCAAATTTATTTTGGCTGAGTCATTACAAGCGCAAGAGTAAGCGTCTCTTATGTAACACATTTGTGCTCTATCTCGAACTAAAAGCGTGATCAATTTAAAAGAGTTGAAAATTGAATTACATTGCGATACGAAATTAGCGAAGCAGAAAAACTATAATAAATTCAGCACGAAATGACAAGTTACGTATTACTTTTTCCATCCAATGAAAGCTTCTATTAAGCTAAAATCTTCTGAGTCATTGGATGGCAAGATATCTTTGCAGCTTAATGTAGAGTGTCATTGCATTACCTGCGATCCATTTGGCACCGATGAACCTTGGACACCAGATGCTGCGACAATAGCCCTCTCGCGTTGCGCCATAAGCTGTGAGACTGATACTCCGGAAAAAATGCTCCCTATCCCTCCCAATTTCCTCTTCTTCTTTTTGTTCAAGCCATCTGTAACAGCAATCGGAACTGATATTAGCGAAACAATTCAATTTAAAAAAGAAAGCTGTAGCTTTGATTAATAAAGTTCCATAATTGAAATAAATATTTCGCTATCTCGTTGCATCATAAAGCGTGGTAATCTTTTGGAATTATGGAAAATTAGAGCATGGCCCATTCTGCTGAAGGTAATTTAGACCCTCTACTGATTATTCAAACGGCTTTTGGATTCTTCACGAACAAGTGCTTCCATTCGAAGCCCCGCCTAAAGATTAAACCCTATTTAGAGAACATTTCTGAGATTTATTCATGGTCCGTTATCCGCCAACCGCTCAAATTAACATAGTTTACTTTCGACCAACTATTTCGCTACGGAACGAGTGCACTGCTCGCGTAAGAATGAACAGCACAAAATTGAAACATTGAATCGTCCTTTCAAATGTCTGAGTAACGTTTTTCTGAGACCTTTTTCATAACACTTGTAATCTCAAATGCACTCAATCAATTTGTAACTTCAAATATGACATTTAATTACTACAGGAATGATCAAACTTGGATATAAGAACAATAATTCAAACATATCAATAACCATTATTTAGTGTACAAAACAAACTGTGGAGAACAAAATATTAAAAGAGTAATAATAGCAAGTAACATTCAAAACTTTATAACTGTGGCATCAGAGTATGTGACAGAACAGAATTATAACAGGAAAAAGAGTGCTTAACAGAATTCGATAAAAATGGTACAAAAACGGATTTTGACAATTTAGGAAGGCATAGACGTTCCAGGTTCATTTCCTCTACAATCTGATACTTTCGGAGTCCATTATCTTTGTTAGTTCTACTATTTTCTTATCAAAGACAATCAACTTCCAAACGTTTCGCGCGATAATAATTAGATGTCTGTTTCAGTTTCTTATAGGCAGGACTCGGATGACGACCTGCCGAGTTCACTGCTCTCGATCTCTGATCACGATATTTGTGTATCGGTAACTTCAATTACTCCTATATAACATTTTTTATATCGATTTTTTACTTGGTCGGGTTAATGTTCTTGCAAATTTAGCAACGTGTAACTGTTTTATGCGTTCAAGAGGACACGAAACCGCGGGAAACCTTGAAAATAACGGCCCCGTAGCCGGGGTAACAGGCGTTCACACTACGAGATTACCTTGATTTACGGGGATAACAAAAAGCAAGATGGTAAAAGAGTACCAAAGGGGATGGTTTTCAATGGCGGTCTTTTATCCGTGAGCCTACAGCGGATAATTATTCTCCACAGTTTCAATGGGGAAAGATAATTCGGAAGTGGGAGACGGAAAATGAAGAGAGCGGGGAGGATGGACCGGAGGAAAGGGGAAGAATGAGATAATAATGAATCCACCCAGAAGCAAGGCAGCTTGTCTCCAACGACAATAGTTTAACCCGATTTCCAAGAGGATCAGGGAGCGTATACGTGTGCGAAGATTCGCGTAAAATCATTGAAAGCGTTCTGCGATTTCCGGGGGAAGTTCGCGTGAACGCGTAAAATTCGTCTCTGCTCGGCTACCCCAAAAATCTGCAGTCAATGGCTCTCGGCCGTAAACGTTGCCGTCGTTAAACCGGACGACGCAAAGATGACGAAGCAATTACGGAATATGGTTTATCGTCAAGGGGCACTTGAAACTTGATTGCCGCGCACGACGATAGCCTAGATTCTTAGCGAGGATTTCTTTGACCGTCATGGAATGACACAATTCTATGCTTAATCATAGAAATTCATTCTGATAGTAATGCACTGTGTATGTCAATTTCGTCTAAACATCTCAAGATACAAAAACATTAGAAGAACAATCGTGTACCTTGATTTCATCAGATTTTTGTAAATCCTAGTTTAACAAGCAACACCAATCGTACTTTAAATATACAAAACTTTCGGTAGTTAAACCAAGAAAAGGATTCTCATTCTGTACATCTCATTTCCGTCTACAATAAATACATCCTTCCTCCAATGAACACATACTTCTAAATGTTCTTTATTCAAACGTAAAAGAACCGGAAGTACGATAAAACATACAATTCGAATACATCGTCATAATAAACTACAAATGCCCCCCAAAAGTATCCAACCACACAAATTCCAAACGAATCAGACGCTAACCAAAAATCGTTCCCATCGTTCCCAAGAAACTTCTAAACTACAACGCTGCCAGGACGTGGGCAGGTGTTGATACAGGGACCAAGGAGTCGGCCAAACCGATGACCATAATTATAGTAATCTGAATCTCCCTCTGGAGAAGTGGTGTCCGTCGAAAACGTTAAGACCCGGAATCGGTCGAACGGCCGAGTGGAACGATTAGCCCGGTTCGGTCATGACGAGGGCTAGGAGCGGAACGTCACGACGTGGTCGAGCCGTTGACGCGAACTAAAAGGAGGCAGAGCGGAATGCGCGTGCGCCGACCGCAAGAGGACGTCCGCCGGAGGACGAGACCAGAAGAGGTGGCTTGAAACAGTGTCGGGCGGGGGTGAAGATCGAGCTCGGGGCAGGCGCAAGAATCACGGCCGGACACACACGTTCACCGGCGGCGCGGCGCTTCCTCTTCTACCCTCTTCCCTCGCCCGGCGTCGCGGCGCCGCTGCTCCTTCGTACGAAATTAACCCTTATCAACTATACGTCTGCCACCACCACCGCCGCCATCGTCACCGCCACCGCCTAGTCTTTATTCCTCCCCGCCCCCACTACCACCACCTGCCCAGTCCAAACTACCATCGCATCGTCACGTTGACGTCGCTGGTAGCGAATGGTGAGCGGATTCTTTCCTCCTCCCGGGACTTATTGATCGTGCGGACGATAAGAAGACACGAGCTGGCCGATTGGTTCCTCTTTCGGACATCTCGCGGATTCTACCGTTACTGAGGCAGACGTCTCGAGAGATATAGGGGAATCAGAATTTGTGGGTCGTTAGAGGAATTGAATGGGTTTTGGAAAGTCCGAGGATGGAGTGTTCGAGCCACTGCTGTTGTGGGATTTTTGGAAGAAGGTATATTGTCTTTGTTTTGTAGATGTAGCGTTGGGGGTGTTAGTAAGGTGCTTTTTGGAATGTTCTATTAAAAATTTGGAGACTGTCAGTAATAGTTAGCTTCACACATCAATACAGATGTGCGAGGATGTGTAATCTTTGTGAATTGCAAAGTTAAATGAACTATGAGTATACTAAATGTTAATTAATAAAGTAATTGTTTCATGCTACAGAAGATACATGAATGTAATGCATTTCAAACATTTGTATTTCGATGAAAATCTGCGAGAATAGAATTTAAATGAATTTTGTAGTGAGAAACCGTTTCAAGTTCCGGAGAGGCTTACGCTACACGGAATCCGATAAAAGCGAAGCTGCAGGTATTTGTTCTGAAAGGGTAGATGGAGGTGCAGTCCCTGTGAAATTGTTTTCTCCCGGGTATCAGCGTCGCGGGGCGTACCGCGCCACCGCAACGCTGCCGTGATCGATAGAATCACAGGGAATTTGCTCATCGCGGAAAATTGTTCAATAGGGCAAGAAAGACGTAGCAAGCCGGCAATTGATTCCATTACTGTATCCTTACTGTTCTCCGGCACAGATTGTTCGCATCATTCCGTGGAATCGCATAAACAAGATTTATCAGCCCCTCGCTTTACGACTTATTTTCCGACTATACTAAACTCGTGAGACTGTGGATTTTATGAACTCATTTGTAGTATGTACGATTGTCTGGAACTCGTATCTCAATTGTCTTCCATTTTACAATGTAATGGAATAACGCAAAAACAAAGTTCGTATTGACTTCTAATCTCAATAAATTCGGTCATAAAACTTCAGCCTACCTAAATTTATCATAAACTAAAACCTACAACAAACCAACACATATGTGTTTCAAGACAACAAAAATATAAGCCAACAAACACGAATTACAAAATGGGAAATGTTATTCGCGCGTACGCATCGTACGTCCGACTGGAACAGCGCGTAATCGATTACGGGGGCGCATATTGAATACGAAAGTAAATTCAGATACGTGTAACGAGCGCGGTCGGGTTGCCATCAATCGCGCCGATCGAGTTTCGGTTTCTCGATTGTCGGCGGTGCAGCGGGGAGCGCTGCCTTAGCAAGTCGCGACGCATAAAACTTCCACCCTCTCCCGCCCTCTCTCGTTCGCCCCGTAGAAACGGAGATCGAGTAAAACCGAAAAGAACCAGGGGAAAAATGAAATCGACTTTCGTTATTGAGATTCGTATTTGTGGAACAGCGACGACGATAAAGATTCATTCGATTCCCCGCCCCCGCCGCAGGAGCCGCGGATTATTCTTTTTATTTCCTCGAACCCGCCGATTCGAAGGGTGCGCAGGTTTGCACAGCACGCGAGCGTATTACCCCACCGCGTGCCGTTGAAATGCCCGAGAAAGAGGAAACACGGGGGTGGGAAAGGGGTGCGACGGCCGGGAAAAGAGAAATAGCGGCGCGGCGACGTTTTCTCGGGCCACGTCGTTTTATATCACCGGAAAATTGGAATCGAAGCAACGCCCGTGAGCGCGAACGTTTGTGTCGATGTTAAAACGACCCTATAAAGCCTCGCGGAAACACTGGAGGCAAACCATATACTCGGCGCTCGTGTTATTATCGAGTAGTGCTTTGATAAATACGTTGAACATGCTTTTGAAGTATCGTAAGAATATTTAGAGGAAAAGATATTTTCATAGAATAGAAAGCTCGGTTAACTGATATATTGTATTGTGATTAATAAATAGTTTTAATTCCAAGTTTTGTTAGTGATTCGAAAAAGCTTTCCGAAAATAAAATTTTTCACCCCAATGTCGATATTACACTAAATTTCCTCTGAATTTTCTCGAAAAATATTTAAAACACACAGTTTAGCCAAACAAAAGATACCATTTAAAACGCCGCAGAAACTCCCATAATCCCCATCTCAAACTACAGTACCTTAAAAACGAAATAAGCATCCCATCGATAATTACCAACGAAAATATACAGCAACGATTAACCGAAATCGCGCGAGCGGGAAAGAGTCCCGTAAATAACTAAAAATCGCGGAGGTTGACGCGGCGGGGAAAAAGTCATCGGGGAGGAGGTGGCCGAAGGTAAGCGGGATTGTTCTTAAATCGTAAAGAGAGGTCGGAACCAGCGGACGACTGGAATACACTCGGCGAATTTTAATTCACCGGCGCGCCATTGTTCCCATCGCAGCGACGCGACGCGCGGGGAAACGCGGTAAGCACGGCTACCGTTGTGCCCGGCTAGCTCGACGTAACAGCCGTTTAATTAGCGACTCCGTTGAAGAAAGGAGAAGATGAAACGAGAAGGAACGAACAACGTTGATGGCGATGGCGGTGGTAAAGGGGTGGAAAAAAAGTGGCGATCCAGCTCGGTCGGTTATAGGATTTAGTAATGAAATCCGGACGGAGAGATTAGCAGCCACGGTGATACATCATTCCAACCCCCGGACCCCGCCGGCTCGACGCCTCTCCGCCAATGCTGCACCGTCGCGCTTGCCACCCCCTTTTTCACCGACATTGGTAGGTATAATGCCACCTCTCGGCGCAGCAGGGAAGGAGAGAGGGTGGAAAGGGGTGGCAACAGACTCCGCTAATGCCGCAATTTCACCGTTCCTTTTCTTTCTTCGTCGGGACTTTTCTCTCATCCGCCGCGCTCTAATGATCAGAACTCGGACAGGCCGCCGCCGCTACCGCCTCCGACTCGGCGGAGCGGCGGAAAAACTTTTGGTCGCCTTCCAATAAAAGTTTCCGGCCGCGTGTTTTCTGCTACGACGGTGAATAAACGTTCCCGGCGATTATAGCGCGCCGCTCCGGCTACCGACGGAACTTTGTTAATACGATGGATCGATGGAAAAACTTCTTTGGGGGATACATATATCTATACATCGTTGGATGGAGCTCGTGTGCGTGTGTGTGTGTTCACGTGAGATTGATTGGCGGGTATGTATAATGCGATCGAGCTCGGCGAATCCGTGGCTCGCTCCAGCGTGGTAAGAAACTTTCCCCTTGGGGGAACTCTGATTTTGATCGATTGGGGACAACCAACAGTCGTGAGGGAGGAATTTCGCTGATAGAGGAATGCCTTCCCCGCGATTTGCCGTCGTTGGATTATCCAGCAGGAAAATACGTTTCCTAATTATGACGGTTTGATATATATTGAGTTATATTTTTTCATGGTTTCGTAGGTCAATGTTGCGTGTGGTATGCTTGTGAGGGTTGATTTGAAGCTTTAGCGCGCGGATGATATTCAAGAAATGAGAACAGTGAAAATATTCGAAAAACTTGGAATTGGTTTTATTAATGAAAATATATGTTTGAATAATTGAACACGAGAACCAGTTGGAAGGGACGTAAATACTCCAATCGTGCTTTATTCATTCCTTTGCAACAATTTATGGTTCCCAATGTTTGAAGCATTATTGTTCATCTCTCCATTACAACGGATCGGTGAAATCTCGAATCCACGGGCTCACGAGGAATACAATTAAACGAGAATACTGCGAATCACGTGAAACCGGCAAATAATAAAAGAAATTCTCGTGCTCGGGAAACGAAATGATTGAATACATTTTTCCGCGGCGTTAATTAAACTCTGCCTCTCATTTACCCCGCGCCATTATATACAAAGAAACAATCAAATACATTATCACGAGTGTAATAAATAAGCGAACGTAAAGAGAACATACAGAAGCGTATAAAATATTTTAACAAGTATCCGCGGGTACTGAAAAAGAAGGGAAAATAAAGCGACAAGCGCGACCGTCATGTAGGAAATAAGTAACAGAATAAATAACAAGATCCCGAAATTAATGAAGGAGTGGAGTATGTGCGCAAGGTCGCGTTCTTACCTTTCCTGGCCTTGTCCGGCGAGGTGGGCGAGTCTGCGTTCACGTGGATCGCGGTTACGGTCGGGCCAGAGGATAAAGTCGACGAGGAGACCGCCTGCGTGCAGGATGCAACAGGACTGCTAGCCGCCGTTATTGGCAGCAAAAGTTTCCTCTTATGGTTGCAAAGCTTGGTCATCTCCCGCGTCTTGCCCTGATCCGGGCTCCAAGGTCGTGTCGCAACCTGAAACAAGAACACACGGCATTCGTTACACGTTCAGTGGATCACGTCCAAAGGGGATCAATCCCGAAGTATCTGGAAATCACAGGATGACGTACGCGTGAGAAGCTAGCCATCGGAATGAACATTTCGTTGTAAGATGTTTCGTTTAACATTTGTGTCCGTGAAGAAATAAATCAAGATAATTACTTTATCTCTTTGAGCGTTTAACAGTCTTCTTAACGTATATCTTGAGAATAGTATGTACAATTATTTTTATATTCTAACACTCCAATTTTTATTTGTATCAAATAAAGATATAAAAAAGGTCGCGAAGAATTTGTTTATTACTTTATTTAAATTTGAAATTTGTAAAAATTGTGTGTATCACTTTTTTGTTAGGCTTTGTGTTAATGTCATTTATTGAATTCAATGTAGAATATGATGTACTTTTTATATGTGAATACAATAAGCACTCTCTTTTCGAAGGGTTAAAACGAGGGAAAAATGTGTACATCGCACTTGAGAGTTTGCGACCAAACGAACGAGAGGTTCGCCACTTCTTAATTTTGTCGGCTGAATTATTAAAGAGCAAGTTTAACGTTAGGTACGAATGAAGAGTCATAAAACCGTTTGTACGTGGTTTTGGGGATACAAGGCACGAAGTGTACGGAGGTAATAACCTTTGGCATTTGTTCAAGCGATCTCGGCGCAACCCCTGAGACACGGATAATGGAGATTGACTGTACGACCGCGGACATTGAAATAAAGAGGCGGAATCACGTAATGAAACGAATATTCTGTCTGCGACCTACTTTCGCGGACACGGAACGAACACACGATGCTCTCGTGCGTATCCATTGCATTAAAGCGACGCCACTGCATTATGCACCGACCGCTTAAATTCCGGTTATTGGAACAATTTGCCGAACGCTTCGATAATTAACCAATCACGTGTAATTGCAGTCGCACACGTGCGCCACTTTGTACACAAATAATTCGATTTGTGAACTGCTTCGCTCCTCGCATACGCGATTCGAGCGTCACACTAAAGATTATAAACAATAATCCGACGCATCAGAAAGTACCGAACAAACCTCCAAAACATAGAGCATATATTTATGATGTCACATTCCAATTTTATTCCCTTACTCCTTAATTAATCTGCATCTCGATACAAACATAAAGCTACAGCGTATACCTACTCGAAACATAGAATACGATATAATTCTGTTCAGAAGTTCCCGAACTGTGTAGTGCTCGAGTTAGCTACATCGACCAACAACCTAAAAGTGCACAAAGACATGAGAACACTTCCACTCGCGATGCTCGGCCGCCTTTATCTTTCGACGCATAGTCATTATTGCGCGGCAATAACAAAGGACACAAGTGAAATCGAATACGATGAAGCGAGACGTAACGATAGAAAACAAAATTCTCTATAGTTCCGTCTTACTCCGTCGCATTCGATCTCGCTTCCGTCCTTTGTTACTGTCGCGCACTAATAATGACCAAACGTCAAAAGTCGAGGCGGCCGAACATCGTAAGTAGTAGCATCCCCTTGCCCCTGTACACTTTTAGCTTGCTGTTCGATGTAGCTAACGTAGGAGTTGCACAGTACAAGTTTCAATCGCGAACAATAAAAATACCCAAGTTTCAAAACGATCGTCCGTCAGCCGAGGATTAAATCATGCTTTCGAAAGGCCAGCGCTGCCTATCGCATGTTACAAAGTGGCCGTCAAACAGCGCTGTCTAAAAGACAGTATCGCTAGACGTCTCGTAAAAGCTGCCGGGCAAAAACGCGCTGCTGTGGCCCAGAGAATTAACGACGTCCGCGCAGGACGCACGCTAAAAAGTTTGGGCCGGCGTCACCGGGTATAAGGCTGTCCCCTGTCATCCCTGGCGTCGTCATATTAACGGGTTTTCGTAATGGCACTATGTACGCAGTCGTAAATTGCTGCGGAACGTCTCGCGGGCTGACACGTAACACGGTGAAGCCCGGGACGGCCATAACCGGGCATCAGCCCGCGGCCTTCCAACTTGGGCACCGATGCACACCGGCATCGCGTATCGATCAAGAGATGCACGAGCATCGCCGGCTCACGGCCTCCTCGTCCGTTTGCCCCTCTCGTCGCCAGTTGAGGTCGCCGCCCGGGGGTTGAAACCATTTCGAAAATAACTGTTATATAAAAATTCGATGCGGTTACGACGCAATGAAATGATGTAATAAATACAGGTTCGATGGAAAAGTCTCCTAGCACGCTTTTCAGGGATGTTAACAGGCATTTCTCGTTATTTGAATGAAGTTTAGTGAACTGTGCGTTGGTCTTTTTGTGTATTCAACTGCTTCTTTATTTTTTGTTTGGGATTTCGTGGTCCTTTTGTAGCCTATCGATAAGTCGGAGCCATTTGTTTAGGATCTCTGGTGAAAATTGGAAAACATTATGACAGTTCTTAGATCTTTTAATTCGTTTCTTAGAGCAACATTGGTATGCGCAACGAATGCGATAATCTTAGTTTCTTCAACTCTGGTCATTAAACTATTTTATATTACAAACGGTGCCGTAGTGGAGTCTACAAACTGTAAACTTCTGTTTGCTGGTACACGACTGGTTCCTTCGAAGCGAACTCCAATATTTAAAATCCTCGGGAGACATCGTAAAGATCAATAATTCGAAAAGCTGCCCTTGACAAAGTTACACATTTACGAAGGACTCGAAAGCTAAAAGAATATACCGAAGCAAATCTAAATTCCAATTATTCGTACTGATAAAGATATGAAACGATCATTGATCGAAATTATCCAGAGTCTTGAAATTCTTCAACCCTTTCGCCATCCCCTCCGCTGAGATCGCCGTCGTTTGTCGTCCCTTTTCGAGAATCCGGCTGGCTTTTGCGCAACGCCGTTCGCCAATTACGGCGAGACAACCGCAGAGCGAAATCTCGCCGGTTGGAAGCGGTCAGATTATCTGGAGTTTTAGCCGGGGCTGAGGAGGTGGTCCCAGGCTTTTCGGGAGCGCTTACGTAACAAGCCTCGTCGCTCGAAGATACCGGCGCGACGAGACCGTTTGTCCGTAGGATTGCGAGATCCTTTACGGACGCGCCTTTATTGGCGGTCTCCGCTCAGGCGGACGAAACGATACAACGGATACGAGGGGAATAAAAGCGTTGGGGGAGGCGGCGGATTTGCATAACCTGTCCGATTGTAGGGCGATAACGCGGGACCCGGCCCCGGGACCGGGTATTGATATTTTGATGCGAGCGAGGTAGTTTATATTCACGCTCTTACAACCGTCTAATCACGAGAAATGTTTCTTTAACCGGCTACCACGGTTGGCCGCGCGATAACTTTCTGTCAAAACACGCTACATTTTATTACGATGTTTGCGAATTCAACGGCGCCCGGTGGATTGTTACTGCCTCCCTCCTCCCCTTCCTGCGATCGATCGCTGCGAGCTGTTCCGACTTAGACGGAGCGAACGAACGTATGTAATTGATTGACTGCGGACTTTATGCATTCGTACAGCGCGCGTATACACGTGTAACATTGAATAAAATAAATGTAGCGTTCGCGTCTTATAAAGTTCTCCGGCCCGTTTATGCCCAATAAAATCCTTTATAAAGGGAAGCTTTCCGGTGGCGTTCGTGCTGGGAACTTTGCTAATAAAAATATGAATTTGCGCGAACGTTCGTGATCTAGTGTTCGAGCTCGTATCTCTCTCGTGGTTATTCAAGTTGTAAACTTTACAACTTATTCGTATCGCGAAGATGTTTTAGTGTATTTTGTAATAAAATATGAAATGTGAGGGTTGAAATGTTCGTTTTCTTTTTCTTTTAGGTGCTATTTATTTTTGGTGGTATTTTACTTTGTACGAGAGAGTCAGTAGAAGAAAAACATTGAAACGTTTATGTTGTACTATTCTTTTTAAATGGAAGATTATATTTTCTGTTAAATATTCATATTTCTTCAAACGTGTTACGCGAGGAATCTGACAACGTGTGCAACCAGGAAACAAGCGGACCGAGTATCAAATGTAAATTAGCGCTGCCTAGGTGGTCGTCTTCATTGAAATTTTCAAGGATACCCAATATTTCATAAGTTCCAATTATCTTAATCTGATCAACGTGAAAAACAGAAGTCTGCCCCAGAGTTGTTTGCGATAATAATTTGATAAAGCCTCGCGCCGTCATCGTATATCTCGGTGATCAAAGATTCTGCATAATTCATTTAACAAGCCCCGAGTAACGGCCGGAAAGAAATTTATGAATTCTTTCTTCGTTCGTAATTTAAGCGGCTGAATTATTCCGTTGCAAAAGCGTTACATCACCGCGAAAGTGAATACACGTAATTATTCGCACGTGAGGGATTAACGGACGAAAACGAAATAAATGATGTATCAACCTCGAGACATTTTTAACTCCAAATAATTTGCATGAGAACATTAAGAAAGAAAAATACATTATTACATTCTGATGATACAATTTAATATTTGCAACAATAATAACTGTACTTGATACAAAAATTCAATTTCACAAAACTGTATTCGATGATTATCTTATATTAATACGGAATCAATCTTATAGACTCAAGTAGAAGACGACCCATGCAACGAAAGAACGATCGCGGAATTCGATCAGGAATAAAATCAGTTAATTATTCGATCCAAGACAATCGTCGGCGATCAGAGCCGTCGATGAACTGCGAAGACATACGTCGTGGCGCGCATCGGAGCACTGGCAGGTTAATTAAGAACGACCTGAATACGACGTCGAGATTGTACGTACTCGCAGCGGCCGGCCTTGGCGTCGCGAGTCGACGAGTCGGCGTATAATGACGTATGCCGGCGGTTAACTCAATCAGAACGTGTTCCGTCCGACCGGTCTATTATTCATTTTCCTTCTGGCGAGCCGCTCATCAGCGATGATCACCTTAAACGCTATTCTTGTTCACTTATGCGACACGCCGCGCTACGATATTGAATAAAATTGCGACCGCGATCGGTTCGTTTCCACTCTATCTTGTT